ACAAAATAACACCAGAGTTTGCAAATTATACAAATATTATTTTCTTCAAATTTCTGTTTTTTGTTCCAGAAAATTTCTCTTTTACTTGGATTTTAATTTAAAATAAATTTTTATACTTTAAAAGGATTTAAAAAGAGTTATAAATCTTAGGGCGTGGCACTTGAATAAAATTCAAACAGAAATTTAACTCCAAGTGAATTTCTCCCTTTTTTCTTTCTTTGAAGAATGGACGGATTTTTTTAACCCCTGCTCATTCTGCCGAGCCTGGAAATAATCATGCTGGCGTTTTGGTTTTTGTTTCTTTGTGTGTGAATTCAAAGAGAGAAACAAGCGTTGCTCGCCCTTTGAATCCGCGGTGCCACGTGCAGATTGTGAGAACTGCACTGGGTGCTGCTCGGCTCGGCTGCTGCGAAGCGTGGCGCGTTTTGCAGATGCGTGCGCCAACCCTCTTGAAGCGGCAGCCCTTGCGGCACGCGGGGGTGTGTAATTATAAAACGCGTTGCCAGCATATAAACAGTCAGTCAAAGTTTCGCGGCACGACAGGAAATCCCCTAATTGCTCCAATTATTAAGGCAATTCACGGAATCACTCTTGGGTCCCGAGTGCGTTTGGCGTGTAATGGCGCATAATATGGGATGAAAAATTACCCGGCTGCTAGAAATGTAGGTGAAAATTAAAAGGCTTGCTTTTGTTTGCGACAGAAAAATATTATAAAATTTGATACAAATTAACGTCATAATGTAATAAATCTATAGGTTTATTCGGCCTATTTATCATTTGACTTGAAATTTTAAATATAAAAATCTGGGCAATCTTGCTAAAAATTATATTTTGTTTTTGTGTAATTATGGTCAACGCAAAAATTGTACAGGGGACAAGTTTTAAATTTTTTTTTATCTAGTTTAATAATTATTTAGTTCATATTTCAAATTATCTGAGAAAGGTAACGATGAATTTTTAATATTTTTATATTATTTCATTTTAATTTTTTTATAAAATTTGTTTCTTGTTTCAACTCCCACTTGTCACATTTTATATTATTATTTATTCAATTATTATTTTTTTAAAGCTTTTACTACGCTTTGTTATTCTTCGGAAAGGATTTTAGGCCAATGTTCAGTCACTACTGAATTCCTCGCAAGGCATAACTTTTCACTGCTTATCTCTGGATTAAAACTTTTATCGCATATACAATTTATATTTTAAATTCACTAAATTATTTATTCTGTGATTAACAAAACCATTGATGAAGATGGAATTACACCAATATTAATTATTGTTGGATATATTTGAATTTGTCATATTAAATAAGTTTGATGAAAATTTATTAATATTTTGCATGAAAAAGCCGAAATTATTTTATTTTTAAATTATAAGGAAATACATTAATAAATAAACAAAAGCATAATTGACAAATTTAAATAATTAAATAAAAAGTTATATTTGAAATAAAAAATTTTAAAAAGAATTTAGTATCTTTACATTTAAAAAATTATTAAATTATTTACGGTTAAACATTTATACGTATGTTTTCTTAAAACATCTTGCCGTCAAAACTCATTGCTTTCAAAATCACAGAGCGTGTCAGTGGCAGTCTGTCAAATAATTCAAGCACAATGCGAGGGTGTCGCGTATAATAACCAGCAGATAATAATTCTCGCCCCTATCCAATTGCAAAACGCCGGATTTCATCACCTGCTGCACAAGTCGAGATGGTATCAGCGGATTTTGGCGTGAATGGAGAGTAGATTTATGCAGTTGGTGTCAGAACTACTCCCTCATTGTCGAGGACACCCTTTGAAGTCCTCCGGGGGTGGAGGGTGGAGAGCATCGGCGTGCAGGCCAATTTGAATGCGTCTGGCCCCGGGGGAGTGCAAGTTTGGAAATGCAATTTACGTTTCCTTCGAGTGAGCAAGAGAGAGAGAGAATGGCGCGTGTGCCGCCGAATTCATTATGCTCCGTTCGGCGCACAGATCAAACTCAATAAAACTATTTGCTCAGCGCCCGAATGAACAGAAAAAGACACTTACGTTGGTCTGGAATAAGGTTTCGCGCGGGGTGTGCTGCTTTTAGCGGACACAAAGGAAAGACAGAACCTTTTACGCATAAAATATGCAGATTAGGCTTTTATGCTCGCGGCTCGGGTGAAATTTTAAAATTCAGCGTTCCCAAGAACTTCAACCATTGAATACATTACCCGAAGCTTTTGTGCTTACGAAAAACTCGATAAATCGACGTTGTGTGCCTGCTAGAATTTCTACACGGGCTTGGGAAAATATACAAGAGGAAGACAAAAAAATGGATCGAATGAATTTTCAAACTATAAATAAGAAGAGAAACGTACGATCCGTTGATATTAATTGAAAGTTAAGAACGATAAAATTAAAATTCATACAATGGCATGTTTCAATAAGGAGATTTGTAAACATGGGTTTTGGTTTTTAATTAAGCAAACCAACAAATATAGTCAAAATCTAAAAAAAATTATATTATTTAAAAAGTTAAATAAGTGCTTTTGAAATTTAGTATGTGCTATAAGTAGTAAATTCAATTAAAGTTTTGAATTTAAAAAAAATAAGATGGATTTTTGAAGCGAAAAACCAGATAATTTAAAAGAAAAATTTTAGTGCCATCGTTAGCCAGTATGGCCGGTATTTAAACTTTAAAATTCACTTTCTGAGTGTGACCGTTTGCCCTGATTTTTGAGCTTTAGGATTTTTAAAGAGTTCGTTGACTCCTAATTAAAAATTTGAGAAGTGGTACTAAAATTCATTTTCAAAATACTGCTTTTATAGTAGTTTCAGAATTATTCATAGTTTTTTTTATTATTATTATTTTCTGATCAGCTCTGATGAAATGAAATTTGATTTTTTTTTTTTTCGAAAAAGCACCTGAAGCATTTCTTAGGAACTTTTATTAGAGCAAAAATTTGAAATGCCACTTTATTTGGTAAATTTTTTACTAAAATCAATTTTTTTTTAGCTTTATCAAAATTTATCAAAAAGAAACATACTTTCACATTATTTTTCGCCTCAACTAAATTCTATTTAAAAATCCTAGATATCTGGCATTTTATCTTTCGGCCTCTCAAAGGGTTGAAATTTCCAAACCCAGCGAGGTGATGAACATCGCCGGCAATATATAGAAAATGCGATGAGAACGGGAGCTCGGAGTAAGCCATAAAAATTCGAGTTGCATGCCAAGTGTCTCCAGCTATGAAATATATAATAAAAATAAAACATAAACGCAGCTCGGCGCGGGAAAGAAAAGAAGAAGTATAGTGTGTCTGCTTTTGAATAATCTAGAGAATGCAGACACGCGGCCTGGCTGGCTGTGGTGGCATGTCTAGCGCCGCTTTTTATCTCGTGCAGGCGTTTGAGGATTTAATTGAAATTCACCCCGCCGAGCAATAAATATAAATATACACACGGCAGACACTTTTGTAGAGAGCACGCGTCATAAATTAATCCTCTCGAGCTGCTGCTGTTTCATTCATTACATTATTGAGGCTACGCGTCGCGGGATTTTGCTGATGAGCATAAAAATCCTCCCTCCTTCTCAATCGCATTGCGTTGCACGTGGGGGCGAGAGGAGGACCAACCCCTTGCCGTTCTGGGTGGTATTTGGCATAGGGTGCGTCGTTGGTTCGTTCGGATGTGCAACTGTCGTAATTAAAAAGTAATAAGCAAAGTGAGCGAGCGTGGCAGCCTCATTAAAAGATGGATTAGTTTTGCACGCCGCGTTGTTTGTGAAAATTATTAAACTTTTAAAATGGGGAAAAGAGCAGAGAGAATGCATTGCCGGTGAGTGAGCAACAATTCGGGGGAATTCAAATTTGAAGTAATGGCCTTTATAATTAAAAACAAAAAACTTAAAAAATTCTGAAGCAAATGCTCTGAAAATGAATTGCAAAATATAAATTGTATAAATCTCACTTTTCTAAAACAGAATTTAGATGCTGTTGTCAGTAATTAACTTTTTTGCATAAATTTAAAAATAAAGGAAAACGGCAACACCCCGAACAATATTACGACCATGATTTTGCTAATTTTGAAAGTTTATCATTTATGTTCTGCAAAATTTATAATTTAGGGTAGCAGTATTTTGATAACATTTTTCTTAAAACCCACAAATCAAGATGTTCTATTCTTATTATGATCTTAAAATTAAATCTTGCTTGAAGTGTAAGCTATAATTTTTTTTTTGTAGTTTTTTTTTTACGGATTTTCAGTTAAAAAAAACTAATGCAATAGCTTATTACAATTTTTAATGATTTATTTTCATCTTGAAAAATTAATATCCTAATGAAACTAAGCAAAAAAGTATAAAAAAAGATCCATTAAAAAAACAAACTTTTATAGCAATTTACTGTCTAATAAAAATTGGGCATTCGAAAGCAGTTGTAAATACACTTTTATTCAATAACTTAAAGAACGTGATTGAATTTCAATAATTAATCTTAAATCTCACAAAAAAGGGAATGTTACAAAAATTTTATTTAAATTAGAATTTAAAAGTAAATAAAAATTTATTCAAAAACTATTTCTTTGCTTCTTAAATTTTCCTTTTTTTCTTTAAAATTTTGTAAAATTTATGTTTGCGCTGTTGGAATGTGCATGTAAAATAATTACTTCACGTCAACCGATAAGATTTCGTCATAAATCACAATTTAACAGCCTTTTTGCTGGGAATAAACACAATTACGGGGGAAAAACTTCATTTGCGCGTTTTCGCTGTTTGCCGATGGTATCAGTGACACAGAAAACACGCTTGAAAACGGGAAATTGCTCCATATAAATACCTATATATCGCGGTCGCAGACACTTTGGTAATAAAAAAGCGGCGTGCCTGCATCGATATTATTTCGACGCACATAAACAAGGATCAAGAAAATACATAATACAAAAAATTTATGCTGCGGGGAGGGGGAGGCATGAAATTGCGTGAGATTTCGAGCAATAATAATGAGCGCAATGAGGGGGGCCGCGCGTACTTGGTCGCTCAGCGGGGCAAGTGGTACATAACCAGATCTAGGCCACATTATTCGCGGGAGGGTGCGGATAAATTGCATTTCTGCGCCGGCCAAATGAACCAATTAAATGGATTGCCGCAGCTGCGTGAGTATTGGTTTAGTCGCGCGTCGTACATGGCCATGTAAAGTGTACATAGAATGGGGCATGTAACTCTACGTACACGGTCGCTTAACTGCACCTCGGAGACGCGCAGTTGCATTCACAGTCAAAAGTCATCAGCTGACTCATCGCCGCCGACCGACCGACTTGCCCTTCGTCTTTTACGATTTTCGCTTCAGACGCACGAAATTGCGATGGGCTTTTTAAAATTGCTTCGCAGCCGCCAGGGGTGGTGGTGGCGTTTGCAAAGGGGTGACAAGTGCCGCAGCAACAATTTGGATATGAGCATCAAAGTATCAAAACATTCTAGATGTTATCTAAGCAAACAGAGAATTAAATAATGATTTTATCTTTGCTGTTTGTTTATAAAGAATTTTGATGGGATTCTTTTTTTCAATTAAATTTATCAAGACAAACCAGAAATAAAAGTATTTACCAGTATTTCGCAAATTATTCCTTAAAATGTTTAATAATAAATAATAGTTGAAAATTGTCTAAAAATCCAAATTAACTGTAAAATTAGTACTGATCAAAAAATTTCTTTCAATACTTCATTACAAACTGACCTGGAACTGACAAAAGTTTTTATAATTTTCTACTTTATTTTTTTCCCGAAATGGAGGATCCTTCACAGTTAAATCAGGAAATTCTTTAAATTTGACGTGATTGCTTTTAATTCTACTGCTACTGCATAGGGAGTCTAAACTCATCCATTAATCAGTTTCAATGGTAAAAAGGCCATCGCCCTATTTTTTTTTCTTTTGCAAATTTTGTATTCACAGCATTTGTATATCAAACGCCTCCTTAATTCAATGAAAACAAATCATCATTACATTCAGTTGCAATAATGCAAATTGAATATTATTTGAAACAATTGGATTTCTATCAACATTAATATTGGATACACTGATGAAAAAATGGAAATTTTAAGATGTATCAGTTAGGTTCGAAACATTTGCAATCGATGCAATTTTTATTTAATGTTAATTTTAAATGATTATTAAGATTTTTCCAGTATTTATGAGCATGAAATTCAATAGATATTAACATAAATCACAATTTAAATTCATTACACAAAATTCAGGGATTTTAAAAATGGATTGTTTGTCTGATCAGGATTTTTATCCAATTTTGAGCAAAATACTCAAAATATTGCCGAATAAGAAAGAAAAATAAATAAAATTTGATTATTCCCTCTCTTTACTCTTTTAGAGAGTAAATAATCATTGGTTGCCAGATCTAGTTTAAAAGGTATCATTACAACTCACAAATTTTTGCTTTTTTTGAATGTAATCTAATAGCAGAGTTGAGAAGTCTGAGGAATTTCAATTTCAAAATAAAATTCATTTGAAAAAAACTTTGATCTGATAAATTAAACTTTAAAAATCCCACTAAACTATTTTTTTCAATTAATTTACTATTTTGGAAAAAAATTATGCTTCAAATTGAAGATAATTATTTGAAAATTACCAATAATGACATAATTTTTTTTTTTTGAACAAATGTTGGTCTTACAATTTTGAAACAATATTTTTTTATAAAAACTAACATTAAATATCGATGGATGAATATTTTAAACTAAACAAGTCTAGATTTTTTTCTTAACACGTTTGCGAGTTTGTGCAAAAGTAGAACTAACGAAACCAATTAAACGCGAATTTGGAACCGAGGGGTGTCGATTCGAAGGGAAAAAAATAGTACTCACTGCCAGCTGAGAAGGGAGTCGACGAGGCTGAGGGAGGAGGTGCTCTCCCTCATGCTGCCCCCATGCCACTGACTGCCCGTCCTTGGTCTCGCGCGACGCCGGCGCCCCCTCCCCTCCCGACCACCCCTCCACGTGAGCACCATTCACCCCCGTCGCGCCCCTCGTGCACCGCCGTCGGGGCGCCACGTGGGTGCCGCCGCCGCGGAAATTGCCACTCGAGCACGCCAATTTTCCACCCTACCAATTTACTGCCGAGGGCAGGTGATGGCCGGGAAAAGTCCACAAACACGGCTCTTGTTGGTTTATTTTTCTAGATCAATATTTTAAAATACAAAAAATTTTTAAGTTTAATTTTTTTTTTTAAATTACTTTTTATGGTTGGCATAATTATTATTTTGCAGGCAGTTCTGGGCTCCAAAAATTGGATCAGCAATAATGTTAAAATTTCATTTTTGGCTAAAATTGATAAATTAGCGTACTTGTGAACAATTGTATTTTTGAACGTTCTCGCAGGTTTTTAAGATTTTCGTAATAGTTCTATCAAATAATAATAATAATTTGAACACAAAATATCGAAGAATTTTGAATTTGTTTAAATTCTAGTTCTTTTGCATTGAATAGCTAAAATTTTAAGTCAAGCAGGTAAATTATTTTCCATTATATTACATAGATACTTAATGAAATCAATTTCAACCAAAGACAGACCTTAAAATTTTTTGCACAATCGCAATAAATATTTCATCAAAGAAGCTAAATTTAAAAAAACTTCCTGAATAAAAATTATTAAATTATTTTTAAAGTGATCGTTTTATTGTGCTAACTTTACAGCTTTTTTTTATTATTTTTATGTAGATATTTTTTTTATATCAATTTTTGACTTTACTCAATGCAACAAACATGAAAGTCGTAGCAAGTACGTCACAGGATGCATAGACTGCAATTTAATTGCATTTTGTTGTTGTTGTTTGGTTTCACCGGAACCAATTCTTGTCAGAACTCCAAATGATTAATGATACAATTTTACATTTATTTTTTCTTGCTGATCTAAAATTTCAGCAGAACTACAGAAAAAACGCTTTCATTAAAATTGCCCCAGAACAAATAAAAGTTTCCACCTGAATTAACATCCTTAAATTGAAATAATTACTGAGAATTTTAAAATACTTCTTAATTTTATAAATAAACAAAAAATAAATATTATTAGGAACAAACCATAATTATATTCATTTTCCGAAACCGCCCGAAACAGTAAATTAATTCTATAAATTTTTCTGAAAGTATTGTTCTTCCCTAAAGAGTTTAAAAATACAAAATATTTTAAATATTTTGGGCAATTTAGAGAAAGTAAAACGTTCAGAAACCGAAGAAACCCAGCATTTAAAATCAAATACATAATTTATAATAAAAAAATTTATTCTTAATTCTTACAAAATACAAAATAACTATTTCTTTCATAAATTTAATTTTTTTGGCATTCAAGGTACGGAATTTGGTTTCAATTCAGTGGGTAAAATCAGTAAAAAGAGCCCAAAACATAATTTTGGTGTTGTCAAGGTCGGCATATAAACAAACCGTTGATGAGTCGATTTTACCCGATTTCGGACCGAGCAAGCGGAAATTTTTGCAGAGACAAAGCCTCAAACAAGAGCCGACGGCATATTTGCTTAAATAAATGTGTACTCACCGTTGAAATTGGCCGAAAAGCGGTCGAAAACGCGAGAAAAGTTTGTCCGCCGACGAAAGTAAACAGATGCGCACGCTGACTTAATTAAAGATTTACTTGCACGAAGATCCGACAGGTGGCACCACCATTAAGACGAGCAGCACGAAGTTTGCTAGTGGCGCGCAATGAGAGGCTCGCATAGTAAGTTGCAGTAAAGGGGACGAACGTTTTTAATCTGCAACAACTAAAGCAACTTTAATGACTTTCATCATACTTTATTTTAAAAAGTACATTCATTAAGTTTAATTACACAAAAATTTTGAATTTATTTTTATTGAATAGAAATAGGAACGATAAAATAAAAAGAGGAAATTTATGTAATTCCATCTCTAATATATCTGTCATTTTATTTTATAATTCTATAACAAATAACAATTTATTTTATTAAAAAAATGGTATTCCACATTTCAAATCGTTGAATTTAATTGCAACAAAAATCAAATCTTTTTCATTGTTTTTTTTTTTTTTTTTTTATTTTTGGCATAGAATTCTACACAGTGAAGTTTCTTCTTCCAGAACTAAAGGTGAGCTTTTTTTATTTTTCACACTTAATTATTTATAATTTTTAATATCGATCAAAATAATTTTGTAAACAGGAAAAGAGATTTTCTTGACCGTTCCAATTTAAGTTATTATTGAATATTATGTACCATAAAATTAGCTGCTAAAAAAAGTTCATAAAAACTGCAGCTGAATTTGTACAATTTTGCCTCATTGTTTGCAATTGAAATGCGCGAGGAAAAAAATACATGGAAACTTTTGTTGCTGTTGGAAAAATTTCAAAACTCATAAATCGTTCAGAAAATTGAGACCAACGTTGAAAAATTTCCCAGTAAATTATAGGTTTGATGCGCATTCATTTCAACGAGGCTGAAATATTGTTTTGCCAATGCAAAAATTCAAAACCCATGAAGTTTCCGGTGCAAAAAAAGTGAGAACTTCGTGGAACATTTTGATATATATTTCCATTAATTACAGGTTGCAGGTGTTTGTTGTGGTTGCTACGCTGTTGTGCATTTTGCACTTTTCATAAAAGGAGTTCCGATGGAGCTGAAGCATAATTTTGCTTACGTGCGACTTTTCCAAATAACAGAGCTAGAGATATTTTATTCTGCGATATGATTTATTGCAAAATGTTGTTTTGATTTGTGCGTCAAACGAAATTAATGACCTAATTTGGAATGATGCGTAGCTCCTTCTAAACTTCGTCAAAAGCCAATAAGTCAAATGCAGTATAAAAAAGTTTATGTAGTTTTTAATAAAAGATAAAAATCTTGCAATTGAATATTCAATTGTGTACCACATAAATTTAAATATTTGAACAAAAGAAATTAAAATTTTACCATCTAAATATTTAATTGTTTGTTTTTCATTTTTTCACCAGTATGGAAATAAAAATCAAAACAAAGTCATGAAATTCAGAGGGCAACTAAAATAACGAGGAGACTTCTCTTTAATTTTCTCTCTCTGAGCTGAAATTTTTAGCTGTCGGCCGGGGCTTGTTTTCCGGAATAACAGACCAAAACAATAATTATGCGAAAATTCCCATTTTGATTGAGCGAATCGGAAAGCAACTTTGAAGGGCATGTCACTGACGCATTTCCATCCACCTGTATAAAAGAAGGATGTAAATTTGCAGATGTATTCATCCCACTGACTATCAGCAATGAAGGCTACTGCTGTGTTTGTGGCGCTTGTTGTTGTACTCCAGGTAAATAATTGTTCATTTGATAAAATATTGAATATTTTAATGAATTTATTAAATTAAATATTTTACTTTGAGCTGCTTTGAACTAAGATAACAAATATTTTAGAGGCATTTGATTTTAAAATTCATTATACATTGCATATTTTATTTAATCTATAATCTATATTATGCGATCTTATATAAATAACATATAATTTATTGTTTTGCTGTAGAGTTAAAAATTTGGAATTTTGTATAAATATATTTTGGAAGTTAAGAACAGGTTAAGAACTCGGGCTCTCTTGTTGAAAAAATTGTTTTTATTTAAAAACACAAATTGCTCTACCAGTTTTGGTTTTCTTTTTTTTTCAAACTATTTACAACGAGAAACAAGCCCGAATTCAACACTTCAATGACCATATCCTCAAGTGTCATTTTTTTTTTACAAATCAAAAATATATTTTGATAAACAATAATTAAAATTCAAATAAGCTTAATTGGCTGGAGTCCGATGCTCTCGAATCAGTGTACAAAACAATGCCGAAGACCAAGACCAAGTATTCCCAAGCAGACTTAAAGAAGCTCAAAGTGCAGCTTCAACCGAAGGCGCTGAGCAAAAAATTCAAACCCATAATCCAACGTGAGAATTTATAACCAGACGAGTCATTTGAGGTAGAGTGAAAAATAAAATTTTTAGCAAAAACCGCTGGGAGATTCCAAAATGCACCCGGAAAGCAAATCGTGGGTGGAGATGCGGCAACCCCAGGACAATTTCCTTACCAAGCAGTGGTCACGATGGACAATTCGTACACTTGTGGCGGATCCTTGATTTTGAATGATTGGGTTTTGACTGCAGCCCATTGTATATCTGGGTAGAAACGCAAACATTATTTTGATTCAAAATTATTTTAAAAATTGATGCATCAAAAGATATACAAACTTTACCATCGTGTTGGGAACTATCTATCGTTACTCTCCTGTTGAAAGTACCCGCGTTACCGTCTACTCGACCGTAGCCATTTTCCATCAGGGCTACAACACCGCTACTCTTGAAAACGACATTGGCCTAATCCGCTTGCCATCACCACTCACGCTAAGTGGTAAATTCTTAAATTTTTTAAATTATATTGTGAAATATAAAATAAAATTTTAATTGAAGCCAGTATAAATGTGGTTGCCCTTCCACCTGCCAGTGATGCCACAAAGACCTTTGCTGGAGTGAACGCCACCGTCAGCGGCATGGGCAGATACGAACACAGTAGAAAAATTTTAAATTTATTTTGACGAGTTGCTACATTTTATTTTTATGAATTAGATAGCACAGCTAACTCATTTTTGAAATACATCACTCTTCCTGTGATTGAAAACACCGAGTGCGCTTCCACCTTTGGCTCCATTATCAAGGCCAGTACTCTTTGTATTGGATCCTACATCAATAACAGTCACTGCAGGGTAAGATATTTTATTTTATTTTAAAATAAGAGAAAGCAATTGAAAATAAAAACAGGGTGACAGTGGCGGTCCATTGGTGTACAGAGATAGTAGCAATAAGGTTGTGCAAATTGGAGTGGTTTCGTTCAGCTCTAGCGTAAGATGCGACGGAGGACCAAATGGATATGCTAGAGTGACATCCTTCCTGGAGTGGATTTCCACTACTACGGGAACTAGTATTAAAATAAAATAACTTAAACTTTAATAATCTCCATTAAAAAAATCAAATAGACTTTGCGTCAACTGTAACCACTGCAACTCCTACGCCGACTTCAACCCCAACTCCAACTCCGACCCCCACACCGACTCCAACCCCAACCCCTAGTACGCCGACCCCCACTCCAACTCCAACCCCCACTCCAACTCCAACTCCAACCCCCACTCCAACTCCAACTCCAACTCCAACCCCCAGCACGCCGACCCCCACGCCGACCGCAACAACAACACCGACGACCTCCACCACAACTGTCACAACCACTCGTTCGACCACCACAACTGTCACAACCACTCGTTCAACCACCACACCAAAACCAACCACTACCAAAACGTCAACCACAAAGAAACCAACCACTACTAAACCTCCCAATTGCGCCGGAGCAAACTTTGCTGTATTTATTTTATTTCTTGAAACCGCAAATTGATGCAACCAAAATTTCAGACCTTCCCAAAAACGTGCTGCCAAGACTACCGAGGCGATGTAGTCAGATTTTCACCAAAGGACAAAAATTGCTCCGCAACTACCAATGTACGACTTTATCTCAACCAATTTCTGCTGAACAAGAGACAACTGAAAAATAATTCTTTGGATTTGACCAGTACTGCTGCAAAATCCCAACTTGCAGCCCCAGCCGTAACTCATTTTTTTTTTTTTTTAATTTTCTTCTGCATAATGTAAACTAATAATAATTTTTGGCAGTGCTACATCAACTGCTTCTTGAACAGAACAGGATTGGTAAAGATTAATTAATGAATTTATTTTGCTGTGATTATAAGTTAATTCTAAACCTCACTTGTTCTAAAGTTTGACAGCGAAGGGCAGCTGAATATCACGGCTTTTATGACGTACATAGCCCCCAATTTTACTGATGCCGAGTGGCAGGGAATTTACCAAAATGCATTAATCGTATGCTCTAACCAAGTCTATACAACTGGAGGTCCTAGAAGCATTAATTTTTTAAACTCTAAAACATCTCAAAATTTAAATTTTACAGCATTTAATGGAATATCTTTCACTTCCAACCAAGTCAACTGTGACGCAAGACATTTAGTCTTGTTCCAATGCATGCAATTTTACGCATCCAGAGTAATTAACTCATCCTTTAAATTAAAAAAAAATATATTTAATCATACTTAATTTACGTTACAGGCATGCAGTCAAGGTATGAAGTTCTTAATTATAAAATATTTTTGTCTAGAGATGATTAAATACATTATAAGTTTAATTCAATTTTTTATTGTCTCATATATTTTGCAGTTAGAACTCCAACCTGCAATAGTACCAGAACCACCTTCAACGCCTGCGGTGGTTTCATTAGCTTTGCTCCATCAACTGAAGCTCCAACCACTGCAACTGCAATTGCGACTGCCACTGCTATCGGCTAATATGAAAATTTCAAGCTTTGAAATATAATTGGAAGCAAATTTATATTATGAACTTAGAATAAACTTCAATATTTGTACAATAAAAATTGAATTGGAAAATTTGGGTTTCTCATTATTATTGAAAATCCATTAAGTTTTTTTTATCATCATAGTGCATTTTGTAAGCGATAATTAACTCGGCTTACAATATGAGGAATACTATTTTTTTAGTGTTATTTATTTTATTTGGGAATTAAAAAAAACAAAATCCTTTTTTTCAACTTCTTAAAAATAACATTTGGAAAAGTAAAAATTAAAAATAAATTAGAAATTAGCAGTGGCGCTTTTGAGATCTGCTTGTTACTTGAATAAACGCCGCGAGAGGTCTTCTCGTGTGTGCGCGCTTCAGCATCGCGTTTTGTGCGGGTGGGTCGGCTTGACTCGTGGCGGATCGCAGAGTCTCGCGGGCCCATATAAGGGCGGTGCGAGAGAGGGTGCTGTGTCTTTACCGGCCAAGCCATGAGGGTGTCACTTGCGTTGGTGTTCGCAGCTTTGGTGCTCGTCTCGGCCGCCTCTGCATACACCCTGGAGCAGGATGACAGCGAGCCTCCGCCAGGTAAGAAAAACGCCTTAATTAGGGATATAATTTATCATAGAAAGAAACCCTTCATCTTTCCCACTCCATTTGTGAAATTCATCCTGACTGACGGTATAGTGACGGTGATAAATTAACGTCAAAAATTTTGCTAATTACTTACGACTGGTAATTTGTCAAAAGTCTAAAACTTGAATTGGGGAAATAGTAAAAAGCAAAGTGTTGTAAATTAAAATATTAAGTTTCTGAAACGAGTTTAGTACTTGCTTCACTTAATTTTTGCAAGAAAATCTTATCTTGATTTTGACCAAAATATTAAAAAAATGTCATTTGTCATTTATTAATAATTTATTTAATTATATGATGTCTTGTTGATAATAAATTACTATTTTAAATCAAAACATTCTTTTGATTTACTGATAATATACGAGACATTGTTGCTGAATATTCACAAAACCTAATGAAGAAATGTTTTATTAAAATTTTTACTTAAAAAAAGTAGAATTTTTACCTTCTGAAATTAAAGAGACACTTTCATAAGTCTAAAAATTTATATTTAACATTTTGATCAAACTACTCAATGCAACTCTCATTAAAAAGTGCTGAATGGCAAAATTTCAACCCATTTAGCACTGGTAACAAAAACTGCTTCATAATTTTCGGGAAACTTTTGTCTCGTCATTTGGCTTGCAGGGACATGGGCGCATATAAAAATTTATGAGTAAATGAGAGTCCGCCGTGCCTCGGGAATGAAAAGAAATGAGTGCGGCGCCGTAATTCGTTTAGGGCACAAAGACAAAGTGCAAAAGCACAGACCTTTGTATAATATTCGCATAAATCTTGAGTGAGATGCGGAAGTCGGAGAGAAACGCCGCAAAGAAAATATGGGTGGTGAAGGAATTTTGCGCATCTCTTCGCGTTGCCAACAAGGAATTTCTTTCGCCTTTTGGCGACGAAACGCGAGATTTTCCTCGGCATTTATACACACAAGGGGGAATGCGGAAACAGAAAAGAAGATCACAATGGGAAAGCTGGAGAAGGAGGGTTTCTTTTTTAATGTGATTTGATCGGCTGAAATGAGATTATTGGCCGAACACGGAATTCAAAACGTGATTCGCAGAGGCCGGAAATTAAACAGCGCGCGCCTAACCGACTGCGCGAATTATTTCCACGTCGAGTTCGCTTCGTTATGCAACGCAATGTACCGAGAACTAATTTGCAAGCACAACAAACGCTCAACGTTTACATTTCCATTTGCGCTTTGCAAGTTGCTTTTCAAAATCCATTTTTAGATCTAGCTTGAATGCGATTGCATTTATTTTCTTTCCTTTGACCTTTGCTTTCTGTCAATATTTCGGACGAAAAAGAGTAGAAAGCAAGTAAAAAATCATCGGATATTTTGGTCTGAATTTTACAATATAAAAATTCAACTACGCTGAGCAAAAGAACAGTCCATTTTATTTATGTATTTTAGTGAATAGTTTTCAAGACTATAAAATACATTCACTCTACCATTAAAAATTTAAAAGCTCTTTTTCTTTAATATGAAATTCTTGATTTTAATAGAAATTGTTGTACTTTTCTATTTTTATTATTGTTTCTTTGTCCTCCATTTTCATAACATTAATTTTTTTTTAGAAATCCAAGATTTGTTAGACAAAATCGTCATTATGTAAGCCCTGTAGCAAGAATATGTGACTGCAGTTGAAAAAAAGAAAAATAATTTAATAATTTCCCATGTGCAGCAATAAAATACATAAGCACGTTTCTATAGAAAGCTCGTTCATCGAAGTGTGCAGAAATGGCATTTGACCCATTTTGCAACTTACTAACTTTCTTGATTATTTTTTTTGCAACTTGTACGTTTTCTACAGCTCTTGAAAAAAACAATGCATTTGATCGAAACACCATTTTCCATCAGAAAGTTCCAGTTCGGAGGAAAATCGATGCAAAAGATGACACGCGTCCACCAGCATAATGGTAGCCCTAATTGAGATTAATGAAGCAGATATTCCGCTTTTGACACTGGGTCAAAATTAAATTCTGCATCAGCGTGGGTCGCCCCGCGGCGCTGAATTATTACAACGAAACTTCCTGCTGCTCACATGCATCATAGCCGGGGTTCATGCAAAACAAGTGGTTCGCTCTCTGTCTTTGACGCGAAACACACATTCTGATATATGTAGGCCAGTTATTGGGTTGCTGCATTGTGGGTAGGCATCGCACGTAGCCGTCCGTCCGTCCGTATTAGCGGCGAAACTCGAGGAAATTGACGCGGAACGCGCGTGTCTGCTGCTGAAAAGTAGTGACGGCGCTGCAAATAAATGGAACTGCAGGGTCTGTTTTCAGCGGGTGGTAAGAAAATACACCCCGTTACTTGACACATCAGAACGAATTTCCTCTTAAGGAAAAACAGGCTGAAACATTTGCTGCATAAATTTTCCTCTGCAAAACTTTTAGCTAAGTTCTATTCTTAAAAATTTAGCAACTTTTGCTATTAAATTTTTTACAAAAAAATTGAAGACGTGATTTGGGTACTTTTGCTGGATCTTTTATAGTATTTTTTAAAGTTTAATTCTCATAGAAACAACATAAAAAGTTGTACATATTTTCTAAAGCAGGAATTGTGGCAATTATTTATTTTATTTATTTTTTAATTAATTTTTTATCTTGCTTGTTTTTACTTTAAATATATGGAATTTTTGCTGATTTGTTTCATGAATCTTGAAATTTTTTAGTGAAATTGGTATATAGTTGTTTTTTATTCAACCGTTTTTTTTTATAGCAATGAAACATAATATTGTGGTGACGCCTTATAAGTAAATTAAGAGCTTAAGAACTGTAACTATTAATATATTTTTAATAATATCAATCTTGAACGAGGACAAACCCGATTTTAAACTAAAGGCAAAATTTATGATTTCAATTACAGAATTGAAAAAAATGGGCTATTTTTGAAATTTATTTTGTCCTTTCGTTAGAAGAAAATAAATTGATAAAAGAAGTTTCCATTTTTGTTTGCGGATGAGATGATGCAAGAGAAAAACAACATATTGACTTGCTTGCTGTCGCCAATATTGACGTGAACTGAACTATGAATGATAGTGTTATCGAGTGCCCGGCAACGCAACCTAATTATCTCTAAAGCTCCAGGCAAACTTGGCAAAACCGCAAGTTATGCAAGCCCGCTTGGCAGACGCGTCCAGATAGTTGCATATATATCTTCTTTTCTCTCCAGGCGAAACGAAGTAAGTTTTAGCCAATTTCTCAACCACCTCCTTCTCCATGATTAAAATTGTGCCTTTCCCAAGCTATTCGTTTCAATTATCTAGCTGAGGGAATAAATTTCCGAGGAATCTAGTATGCGGCTTGAGCGAAGCCTTCGGCAGAACAACACCGCGGGTTAAAACCTTAGAATGGCGTTGGGCTCGTCATTAAAAAAGGCAAAGCGGGGACCGTTGTTTTAAATCAATTAGGCAAAAATCAATAAGAAGGCCGGGCATGGTGAGTGGGAGGATGGAAAAAGCCATCGGCACGCGCAATAGGAGATTAATATTCATGACACGTTGAGCAAATTTAGTGTAACCATAACCACCCGCGAGGAAAGTGGTGATTTGAGTTCCTGATTGAAAAAAAGTGCTGCAACTCTTATATTGAACGGAAAAAGTTGATATTATTATCGTTTATTTCTTTGCAATTCAAGTCAGAAGATAAGATAATTAGTTAAGTTATTGAATTGTAAAAATGATAACTCCTCTGGCAAAACAGCCGCTAAATTTTTTGCAATCAAGAGAGGTCAGTCACCAGTTCTTTGCATACAAAGACTTTTTATTTAGATTTTTGAACTTTTAAAATTTCAAATGTTTTAAACTTTGAATACTTACAAAAGATACTTTCTACATTATTTTTAATATCAGAGAAATAAAATTCTTCAAATCTATGACGACAATAATTCGTTTGAACTAACGTCATCGCCCTCGTGGAAACTTCCTTTGACAACTTTGTCTTTGACCCACAAGGGATTCAATTTCACCAATCAAGTTAATTCAGCTCTTCTTTTTGCTGCTCGAGAAGTGGTTTGATGCGGCAGCTCTTGACCTGACCTCACAAGAGCCATCAACGGTTGCTTTCAGAAAGCATGAAAAGAAAGAAAGTCTCTCGCACAATATGAGAGCAGAGCTGCCCGGCCGAGTCTTTGCCCTCGGAGGGTTTGACCGCATTTGCAGTTTGCACAAGATTTGATTCCCTCAGCTAACTGCGCGAATGTTTCCTCGTGACGGAGAAAACCAAGTACGGCACTGCCCACAGCCTCGATGGAATTGACCACAGAGAATTCCGGAAGATTTGATAATAAACGTTTTTTCTTTTTGTAAAAGTAACTGTTTTGCTTGAGGAGGAAAAATCTTTTTCACCTTCGAACTTCAATTGTAAATGAGAGAGAAATTTTTACCAAATATAGACAAAGAAAGCGAGTTATTTTAAATTTTAGTCATTATTAAATTTTAAATTACAGTTTTGAAATTAAAATGTGAGATTTTCTTTAATGAAATGAGATGGAAATTTTAAAGCTGAACAAAAAGATTCAAAATCCCAAATTTTATTTATTTATTTTTATTTCTTGTTTTTTTTTACGTACAAAATAACACAATTATTTTTCAGCATTAAATTTAAGTAAATTGTGAAGGTAATTTCATTTTTTTTTTTAATATTGCTCTACAAAACAACAATAATTATAATTAAATATTATTCTTATCTGCAAAGTAAATTAGTTCAACTCACAGCTTTCACGATTCAGTCTGCCGGCGGGTGGACAGGCCAGCGTGTTCCTCTATTTGGCTTTGAACACACCGCCTAGTTAGGCACCATACAGAGAAAATTACTCGCACCACCCTTGATGGAAAATGAGCCCATTCATTTTCATCGGTCTGACTGGAGCCGTGTCTGTCTTGACTCTATTATTTGTCCTCGTCGGAGCACTCGTTGCTTTTAATTTACATAGGGCGCTGTGAATATTCATGATC